TTTTGATATTTTACTCGTATCTATCCAAGCAATAATTGGACCAACTTTGAATCTGCTACAAAATTTTTCAAGGAAGTTTGGTTTTTTCGTCAAATTTGGGGTTGAATTTCCCCCCTTCAACCCCGAGATAAACATGTGCTTTTTTGATATTTCACTCGTATCTGTCCAAGCAATAATTCGACCAACTTTGAAACTGCTACAAAATTTTTTAAGGAAGTCTGTTTTTTTCCGTCAACTTTGGGGTTGAATTTCCCCCCTTCATCCCCGAGATAAACATGTGCTTTTTTGATATTTTACTCGTATCTATCCAAGCAATAATTGGACCAACTTTGAATCTGCTACAAAATTTTTCAAGGAAGTTTGGTTTTTTCGTCAAATTTGGGGTTGAATTTCCCCCCTTCAACCCCGAGATAAACATGTGCTTTTTTGATATTTCACTCGTATCTATCCAAGCAATAATTGGACCAACTTTGAATCTGCTACAAAATTTTTCAAGGAAGTTTGATTTTTTTCGTCAACTTTGGGGTTGAATTTCCCCCCTTCAACCCCGAGATAAGCATGTGCTTTTTTGATATTTTACTCGTATCTATCCAAGCAATAATTGGACCAACTTTGAATCTGCTACAAAATTTTTCAAGGAAGTTTGATTTTTTTCGTCAACTTTGGGGTTGAATTTCCCCCCTTCAACCCCGAGATAAACATGTGCTTTTTTGATATTTTACTCGTATCTATCCAAGCAATAATTGGACCAACTTTGAATCTGCTACAAAATTTTTCAAGGAAGTTTGATTTTTTTCGTCAACTTTGGGGTTGAATTTCCCCCCTTCAACCCCGAGATAAACATGTGCTTTTTTGATATTTTACTCGTATCTATCCAAGCAATAATTGGACCAACTTTGAATCTGCTACAAAATTTTTCAAGGAAGTTTGATTTTTTTCGTCAACTTTGGGGTTGAATTTCCCCCCTTCAACCCCGAGATAAACATGTGCTTTTTTGATATTTCACTCGTATCTGTCCAAGCAATAATTCGACCAACTTTGAAACTGCTACAAATTTTTTTAAGGAAGTCTGTTTTTTTCCGTCAACTTTGGGGTTGAATTTCCCCCCTTCATCCCCGAGATAAACATGTGCTTTTTTGATATTTTACTCGTATCTATCCAAGCAATAATTGGACCAACTTTGAATCTGCTACAAAATTTTTCAAGGAAGTTTGGTTTTTTCGTCAAATTTGGGGTTGAATTTCCCCCCTTCAACCCCGAGATAAACATGTGCTTTTTTGATATTTCACTCGTATCTGTCCAAGCAATAATTCGACCAACTTTGAAACTGCTACAAAATTTTTTAAGGAAGTCTGTTTTTTTCCGTCAACTTTGGGGTTGAATTTCCCCCCTTCAACCCCGAGATAAACATGTGCTTTTTTGATATTTTACTCGTATCTATCCAAGCAATAATTGGACCAACTTTGAATCTGCTACAAAATTTTTCAAAGAAGTTTGGTTATTTTGTCAACTTTGGGGTTGAATTTCCCCCCTTCAACCCCGAGATATACATGTGCTTTTTTGATATTTTACTCGTATCTTTCCAAGGAATAATTCGACCAACTTTGAAACTGCTACAAAGTGTTTCAAGGAAGTTTGTTTTTTTTCGTCAACTTTGGGGTTGAATTTCCCTTCTTCAACCCCGAGATAAACATTTGCTTTTTTGATATGTCCCTCGTACCTGTTCAAGTAATATTTCTACCAACTTTGGTGGTGCTACAAAATTTTCGATATCTGATCTCATTTACATTTTTGGGGCGGAATCTACCCCCTTCAACCCCTCCCTGGACATATGATTTTCCAGCATGTGACGTACATCACCCTCAGTATTATTTCCACCAAGTTTGATGATGTTACAGAATCTTTTAGAATAGATTTTTTGATTCATTTTATTTGTGGCACTACTTATTTGGTCGACTGTAAAAACATGATTTTCATTTCTGAATCTGATGCTAACTTCAGCGACATGTATGCTTCTTAATAGTTATAGATTCGCATCTGTTTCTGGAGAGGTTCTGCAGAACGCCTTCTATGAAAATTTCAATTATTCATCAATTGCCAGATTTTTCTCAAAATCTGTAGGTACCCATTTATATTTTTAAGTCGTAGGTGAAAAATAAAGCATATTAACTTCTCTGCCATCGAGTTTTCGATATTGCTTAATGTTTCCAAAAATCTGATTGAAAGAATTCTACGACACCTTATAAAAATTTTCGTTTTCCAGAAGCCTTCTAACTACGAGAACCTAAATAAATTTCATTAAAATGAAATGTTGTTAAAACACGTTATTTTGGTATCCCTATAGGCCGCAGTGGTTCCCAACCTTTTTTTAGTCACGACCCTTTTACAGATTTGCTCATAAGGTCGCGACCCCCCTACCCATTAATAAATAAAAAACAAAATTTCATTTATTCGAGAAATCTTTAACAGAAATGTTGATATTTCGTAACTAAATACAAAAAGTCAATTTTTATTTTGTTAATGTGATGACTGAGCTTGCATCACCGTAACAAGTTTTGAAATTCTTGGTTGAGTTTTTGTTGAAGCCAATTTTATGTCATCTTGAACGCCCAATTTATTTCTGAACTTTGTTCTAAGTTGAAAAGCCAAATTCATGAAGGTAGGTAGAGGCAAATGGTATTAGTATCTGGAAATAAAGCACATGCAGGGCGATATAAGGATATGAACTATGCATCGCACACCAAATTTCAGTCAAGAATTTTTCCTGGAATCATTCCTCAGCTCTAAAAATGTATCCAGCACTTCATCAGGAACGTCGGCAACATCTAACGAGGCTTGGAACGGGTTCCTTACTACTGCAGCTTTTTGTTCAGATTAAATCGAGAAAATAACGCCCATTTCATTCTCAAGCGATTGAAGGTGATAAACAATTTTTTTTTGGATTCTCTACAGTTTCTGTTTCTGATGCTTCAGTCATTTTGTATAGCTACCTATGTTGAAAAACATGTGACTCACAACCTGTGTTATGTACTTCGTCCGAAGGTCAATGCAACGCTGCGCGTCTTTTGAGGCGGAGGCTAAGGCGTGTTGCCAAATGCAGAAAAATATATATTGATATTGGCATTGCGACCCCTCCAAAAACCCTATGCGACCCCTTTAGGGGTCGCGACCCACCGGTTGGGAATCGCTGCAGGGCAAGTACACGATCTGACAGTTTGACACTATTGACAAACGCCTTGAGGTAAAACCATAGGGTAAAACAAAGATAAATTTAGGTACAGTGTTTTTTTAAGTTCTTAGTTAGATTTTTTTGAATATAGTAGTTTTCCTAATCAGTGCGCAAAGTTATGTTTTCCTGCACGCGAAAGTAGTTAGACGAATGACGCGAAGCTGAGTTCGGATAATCTTTAAGTGCGGGAAAACTACTTTGCGCACGTATTAGGAACAATATTTTTTCTACGAGTGAAATAACTATACTTCCTTTTTAAATTTTTAATTTCTATAGGCATCAAAAACAATTTGTTGTAATTAACTATAGGTATATCTAAATCGGCCAAAAAAAAAATCGGCCTCTCTTCGCGGGGCGTTGCCCCCTTAAAAATAGGGCTCTCGCAGGGATTCGCCCCCTAAGCAGGGGCCCCCGCAAAGCTGTGCCCCTCAAAAAAGTGGCTCTCGAGGGACTCCGCCCCCCAAATATGAGGCTCACGTAGGGCTTTGCCCTCCAAATAGGGGGTCCCCAGATTTTATTATGGGTACCAGAAAAAAAAGTGTGCGGGAAAAAAATTTTCCCGCATAGTGTGCGCAAAGTAGTTACTTTGTGCACACTTTTGGGAAAGGGCTTCTTTGCGTACACAAAAAAGTGCGCAAAGTAGTTACTTTGCGCACACTCGTAGAAAAAATACCTTTTGTGTGATCCAGAAGTTTCTTGGACATGCCTAGAGTTTGTTTAGTTGTTAATTGTGGCAGTATAGCGCAAGGGATATAATATCTTTCCATAGGTTTCCATCAATTTTGAATAACAATGGGAGGTTTGATTAGTTAGCTCAAGAAAGAAGAGAAAAATTGATTAATGTCTTTGGAAGAGAAGATCTGACAGAAAAATAGATTCAATATAGAGTAAATATATATTTGTTCTTCGTTCTTGTGACACTTGATTTTGATATTTGTTGGAAAGAAACTCAAATTATTCCATTATAGAGAAACCTAGCAATTTTTTAAATAAAAGTCCACATAGACTGGAACACAAACCTTTTTTAAAACAAAATAACACAAAAAATTGTAAAAAAGCTGTGAACACCGCATAAAACATAACCGGCCTAATCTACACGAATGTAAATAAATGATTTGTTTTACCTCAGGGCGACTGTCAAACTCATTTATGACGTCACATGGACATGCCCTATTGTAATTTTTCGTAACCAAACAACTAACCTGATAGTTATTGTAGGTCAAAGGAATTCTCTCATTTAGAGATAGAGATTTGCCCTCTAATGAAGTCAATAGAAAATTATTGTACCACATGTGCTCGGACTGCTCGGATTGGAATAAAAGACTCCCTATGTTCTATAGCAAAAGAAGTCTTAATATGGAACTTTCAATATTGATAAACTTCGTCCTTGAGTCTACTAGTTTCCAAATTACTTGACCAAATAGTTACCGACGTTTTCCAACAATCTTGAGAAAAATTAAATAAAATATATATATTTCAAGTAATTTAGTAGGTTTCCGAGTTAGCAGTAGAAGTGATTACCTGAAATGTATAGGTAAACGTACCTTTATTTTGTAATTTACAAAAAAAAAATTGAGAAAGTGGTTTAGAGCCAGTCAAAATTCCAACACAATAAATCAGAAGATGCACTCGCAAACAATAACGTCTTGGCCTATTAGCATAATCATTTTAAATTTTCTGAAGAAAACAAACTTGGAACCTGATTTCGATTATTAAATCATCAAATCAACAACCTATAAAAGTACCACCGAAAGATTTTGGATTATCAGTACTACCAAAACCGAGATCTACCTACGTTATCAAAATTAAAAAGTTTATCAATTAGAAAAATGAGTAAAATTATGCTAGTAAGTGTACTTACATGGGCTTTTAGTTTTTATGAAAATATAAAAAAATTATAACTTCCAGATTCTTCTCGTGGCCATGGTCATGGCAATTGCCCTCGTCAAAGCTAACCCAGTACCAGAAGCAGAACCACACTTTGGTCTAGGCTATGGAGGCTATGGAGGTGGCTATGGAGGTTACGGAGGTTATGGAGGTTATGGAGGTTATGGAGGCTACAGAAGTAAGTGATCTAATTGTTGATTAAAAATGAAAATAAATTTAATGAAAAATTAATTTTTTTTCCAGGTTATGGAGGTTATGGAGGATATGGCGGTTATGGAGGATTCGGTGGATATCGTGGATACGGATTGTACTAAGTGTTACCATCATCCACGTGACTGAGATTTCGTTTGATTGTATTTAATTTTTATATTTTATTAAAAAATACTATTCATTACGTAGAGCTTTTTCTTATTGTTCCAGCCCCCTATATTTTTTGTTTCACCCTGTTTAAACCCAACTAACTGGATATAATTTTATAGCACCCAAGCAACACAAAATTGTTTAGGTTGTATAGGTTGTATATATTTCAGACTTAAAACAGAGTTTCATAGCGTTATCAAAATCTTAAAACTAGGTTACAATCAATTACAATTACAATTAATAAAATACTATATCACTTAATGGGTATATCACATCTGTATAAAAAAATTTAAACATTATAAAAGGACAGTACTAAGTAACTATGAACGGTTAAGACTATTCAAAACAAGTTAAAAATCCAAATCTGTGACCTGATATTGCAAAAATTCTTCTATTGAATAAAAGCACTTACTTAACAAGAATTGCTTGATTTTATTTTTAAATGGCTTTATTGGAATGTTTCGTATCGTAGGAGGCAGTTTGTTGAAAAATGCCGGTGCATAAATATCGCGTTGCGCTCCAGGAGGTTTTTAAGCGTGAAAAGTCAATCTGCACGTTATAACGTTGGCGAGTGTTGTAATTATGGACCTCTTCGGCACGAGTGTAGTTTGAAGAGTTACTATGAAAATATAGTAGAGACTCTAGGATATATTGTGCTGGAAGAGTTAATATTTTTAGGTCCCTAAAGGATGGTTTGACATCATCTCGGTATTTGATGCCAGCTACAATTCTAACTGCTCTTCTCTGCAGACCAAAGATGCGAGAGGTATGACATGAGCGTCCCCATGCTAGCAGTCCATAGACGCTCACTGAATGAAATAGACCATAATATGCCATTTTCGATGTTTCTTTATCTACAATTTTCGATATATCACGAAGAACATAGATTGCGGAGCAAAGTTTTTTTGAAATAATGTTGACATGCTGCTCGAAAGTCAGCTTCGCATCCAATGTAACTCCTAAAAATTTGATTTTTTCTGGGTTGTCTTGAATTGTAGTTTTCTTGAGAGAAAAGATTATGTTTTCTGTTTTACTTTGGTTGACATTCAGAAGATTGGAGTTGAACCAGTCAACAGCAGTTTCGACATGTCTCGTCATCTCCATTTTGGCAAGGTCCAGTGTTTTGGCTTTTATGGAGAGTCCATTATCGTCCGCGTAGATAACAACCTGGCATCCGGACAGGACAGCTGCAAGGTCATTTATGTATATAAGGAACAACAGTGGGCCCAGTACCGATCCCTGAACCACACCGTGCCTCATGACTCTCTCCTCTGAGCGCCTACCCTCCAACTCCGTGATCTGCCTTCGTCCCGAGAGGTACCCCAATATCAATTTCACGCTGAATTCACAGAGCCTGTAGTATTTTAATTTTTCTATAAGGATATCATGTGATACACAGTCGAAGGCTTTGGAGAGGTCACAGAAGGTGGTGGACACAATTTGCCCCTCCTCAAAGCCCCCAACTATGAAATCACAGAGCTTTAGTATTGCCCCAGTGGTGGTTCTGCCCCTTCTAAACCCAAACTGCTCTTCTATGAATAAGTTGTTTCCCTCAAAGTACATGTAGAGTTGGTCCTTTAAGAGAACCTCACGGATCTTGGAGAAGACGGGGATCAAAGAAATTGGTCTGTAATTTGATGGTGATGTTTTATCTCCACTTTTGAAGATTGGCACGGTTTTACTAATTTTGAGCTCTTCAGGGTAAGCACCTTCTTGGATACATTTGTTGAAAATTTTTGCAAGCGGATAACAGAGAATCCCACCAAGTGCCTGTATTAGCACTACACTAAGGTCATAGAAGTCCTTGCTGTGCTTTTTTTTTAAGTTATTAAGAGCTTGAAGAACTTCGAGTGGGCCTACACTGTGGAAAGAAAAGTGCAGGTTTGGGTCTCCTAGGTTACTGCTCTGCATATACAGAACTGGCGATGTGTCGGCTGCTGGTAGATTATGAATGAGGTTTTCAGCTATGTCAGCAAAATAATCATTACATTCATTTGGGTCTATATTTGCATTTGCTTTAGAAGTGCTGTTTGGCATGTATTTTTTTATTAGATTCCATGATGCTTTTGCAATGTTATCAGAATTACGGATATAAATTGAATATACGTATAATTTTTGTTTATACCAAAAGTATATTTATGGTTTACTATTGCCTGCTATAATAAGTTAAAATGTCCGCCTGATATAAGTCGATATTTACCATAATTATGTACCAAATATAAACGTATACAAAATATATTTATGAGGTTATGGTATAAAACGTATATATTTATCATTGAATTTGCGTTAACTTAATTGTTATGATGTACTTATAATAAATGTATAGAAATTATGTTTAATAATTTACTATTTAAAACGTGTATATGTAATTTAAAATTTACGTTAATTCAATTGATATAATACACCAATGATAATTGTATATGTGATACGTTTAATAATCATATTATTATACGTTATAATTTGATATAATTTAAACATTGAAATATAAACTATATCATACGTTGAAGCAACGAATTTGATGAAGTTTATACAGTTCTTTATCAGTAACGTTTAATTAACTAAAATAAATGGAAGAGTTCATTTATGAAACAAATAATATATTTCGAAAAGTTATTGCATAGTTATTACAAAAAATTTAAAAAAATAAATCTTGGCATGCTTGTCCAATATTTTTTTCTGTTATGTCTCCTGCCGTGATGCCCACTTGTTTCTGTCCTTGGAAGTAAATTTTTGTAGCTTCTGAAAATAATTACATATTATAAGTGAGTTATTTTCCATGAGGGTCACTCATGGCAGTGCAACTGTACGGTATTAATGCGTAGATTTTACGTTTGAAGTATACCATTCTCAAAAAAAACAACAATAACTTTATACCTAAGTATTGAAAAAAAAATAGTATATTGTTGTATTAGGAGTAGAAGCTTTACTTTTTTGTGCTGAAGCAGTAGGTTTGCGAGCCGAACGTAGTGAGGCTTGCAATACTGCTGAAGCACAAAAAAGTGCTTCTACTCCGTATGCAACACGCTATTTTTTCTCGAAACGAATGTGGTAAGCTCGGGGGTAACTGGATGGTTGAGCGGCAGTAAAAGTACGAGCGGCATTAAAAGTACTTTTTTCTACAACTGTCAAAAAATGATGATGTTCGCACACTCATGACAGTTTGCGAAGTGACACTTTTTTTCCCAGGTATTAATTTTTTAACGTTCCCATGACGCCGTGCGCGAACTAGCTATTTCGCGCACGTGTGCGCGAAATAGCTAGTTCGCACACTGGGTGTCATGGTGACACATACCTGTCAGGAAATCAAAAATAATTAAAATTCACCTACCTTTGATTGAAAATGCAATTTTGGCTTCAAATGATTGATATTTAAATGGAGTTGTAGAAAAAATATTGTTTGCAACTCGGGCGCGAAATACTTTGGTGATCCCGACTATTTTTTTAACTCGGCTGCGCCTCGTTAAAAAAATCAGATCCCGGTCACCAAAGTAGCATTTCGCGCCCTTGATACAAAGATAACTATTACTGCCGCTCCAGCGGCACCAAAAGTACTTTTGCTGCCGCTGGGGTTGCCAAGCAGCATATAAATTAAATTTCTACCACCTCGACAGGTGTTAACCTCCTGGATTTGCCTAGCAACATAGAAATTGAATTTCTACCATCTTGACAGGTGTTGACAAAGTGATGTTTTTTTGACGTTTGGAGAAAAAACATATTACCTATGTACCTGTCTACCTACATGATTTATCCCGCAACTCATTTATAATTATTTAACGGAAAAAAAAAATTCGAAAAGGATTGACCATTCCAGTACAGATGAGATGACTTTACTATGACAATTTGCTCTGGGGAGCACACATAATCAAATAATATAACCAAAAATTACAATTTTGGCATTTTCCGATAAGTTTTTAACCTAGGAAACTTCAAAATTTACAAAACAAAAAAATCGGTTTTCCCTCAGCCTGAGGAATACTGGAATGATCAATTGTTTGTACCTGTGTGGAAAACGGAACGACGAAATATCAGCTTGTAAATCAAGTATCGAAATGGCTGAATTTTGTAAAAAAATAGCACACATGCCAGGTTTTTCAAATAAATATTCCTAATTCTAAACAACCAATAATTTTCCACTTACTGGATTCATTAGTCTGCTATTAACAGGAGCAGCTAAAAATTCACGATTCACAAGTCACAGCATGCAAGCAAGCACTACGCACTCACGGGCACATTGTAGACCGACTAGCAACAACGACTAACGAAAATGAAAATGGATCGCAATCGGAAGATGAAGGTGATCGGCACGACGCGTGCGTGGTTCAGCCACAGGCAGCAGCTGATTGGTTGGCCGGTCTGTGCTTTCAGCACTCCATGTTGGTTACACAAGCGCGGGAAATACACAATTTTTGAATTTTAATCGATTATTGCTCCCTTTTCTTTCAAATGAAAACTGAATGGGACACAAAATCACTAGAAAAAAAGGCACGTCGACTTATTATTCAGTGTAGGTAACACATTTTCCAAAACAAATGAAAATTCCGATGGGGTATTAAAAATACTGATAGGATATAGGATAGGTTGGCATGGCAATGGCGATGGCAACTGACCAATAAGAGAAAAGTATTTCGGTCTGAGGTGCAGGGGGAGAAAAAAACGATATGGAAATACACAGTTACGATGGAATAGAGCGGGATAGAAATATTAGTTCGCATGTTTGCCGCCTTCCTTTGAATTTTCATTTGTCCCTGGTCGCTCCTATACTTTGATTATACAAATATAATAAACTATAAACTATATCATACCAGGGTTTTCAGTAAACTTCTGACAGGAATATAATACATGGTATACTGCCTCAGTTAGTTAATCATAACGGGATTATTTACCCCTTATCGTGAGTAAAATGTAAAAGAATGTTGTGTATGGCCATATAATATAACAGGTATAATAAACAAGTATATATTTATACTATTATATACCCATAATGTACCCTACTTTTCCGTCTACCATAGACATCTATTTTTAAGTTGTAGGCTT